TCGAATGTTACACGTTTCCACCAAAAGTGTACCTTTCTTTTAGTATTTTTTATAATTTATAAATATATACATAAATGTATTTCATTATGCTATATACATATGACCAATCCCGTACCAACCAAACATTGCGCCCTTACGTATTTTCAAATTGAAAATATTACGCTTATTAGATATTATTTTCGATGATTGCTTTGATTATAATATGAAGGCTGTTAAAGATTTTGTAAACAAAATATACGGCATTGACCGTTGTAATTTTTAACATTAAACGCAAGATTTTCATTTTTGCGCTCTCCCAGGAATTGCGCATAGAGCGTAGGCACCTCTCGCCACCCCCTAGCTACGGCCCTGCATATGGTAATGCTTCATCTCTTTAATACTAGTGGAGGAGTTATTAAATTATTGCCATCGTATTTTATTTTAATGTTATGAAAAATCAACAAAATTAAATTAATTACTTAGTTCAATATGAGCCATATAAATATTTAATAAACAAATATTGTCTAAAATACGTTTAGCTAGTGAGTTTTGTAAAATAAGTTTATTTGGTGCAAACGGTAAAGGTATACTCTTGGTGAAAATGTGTCCCGTCCATAAATTCGCACATTCTCATTTATATATTATTATATTTACCATTACTATTATTTTCTTTGACGATTAAACATCTTAATAGTATAGGAATTCATATGCAAACTGAGTTAATGATTTTGAATTTGCTAACTTTGACTGTCTTTTTTATACATCCAAATCTGAAAATATTAATTACAAGTCCTCGTATAAATTATTATTTGGATGTTAGTTTTTAAATCCACCTGTTTTTACTATTATTCAAAATAATTATAAAATAATTACACGGTGATCAAACTGAAATTGTCAATTAATTGCAGCAATATTTTATTTCACAGCCTCGTCGGCTAGTTTTCTTTAAGTATACCATGGGAATTTCGATTGTAAATCCACAGACATCACCTCAAATTCAGAGACAACGCAATGAGAAGAGAAACGGTTAAGTTATACATTTTTATATACATAAATTCATATCTTCATTGATAGACCGTTCCATTTAAATATAATATACAATATGATGTTTCTAATATTTGTATAACCATACTTGAAAATGGTTTATTCTGTATTTTATACACTGACGCAAAAGTTCAAATTACTTAGTTCATTGCGGTAAACAATAATAATAACTACGAGCATTATAAAAACGAAACTTGTTTAAAACACGAATAGTTTCAGTTAGATATTTGTATTATAATAAACACTGAAATTAAAATCATGCGAAACAATGGTAAATTATTAATTAAGTTTTCATTGTGCTCACGTGTGTGTTTCAGTAAATACGTAAACAAATATGAATATCATGTGCGCATATATAAGACGGGAGAATGTTGTGCTTCGTAAATTGTTTACGTATGAAAACTGTTTTTCAAATTTTTAATTTAAATACTCTCGTTGTCGATTTATTAAGACACGAACGTATACTTCAGTATATGAACTATTCAGATTACTCTAAAGTAAGAATATAACTTCACCTCCGTGCTGCGAGCTAATTTTTCATCGTAAAACAAAAATATTGTTTAAACCCAACACGTAAAATATGCGTAGACCATCGCTATGATAAGTGAAACGTCTGAATATTATTTTGTTGTTTTACGGTTTTCTGGATTTTCGGCATCGGCGTGGATTAATAGTGAATTTCTGTGACGGTAACACATAAATTACACGCGGTACGTACGTACATTATAATTTATTTACAAAACAACACACGCAGTACATAATCCGTTGCGGGATCATCATCTATTTTGTGTTGTATCATATTGATTTTATGTAACTATTTTAAAATCAATGGTGTCAATGGTATCGTTTACCACTGACAAAAGAACAAAGAGCGAGAGGACAAAAAAAACCTGTTTAAAATAATAATTATTTTATTGTTTTTATTGTATGAATTTCGACGACGATCCGTCCTGGTATCGGTATACGATCGTGATGAAATCAGTCGAGATTAAGTCCAGAACCATTTAAACATAGTTATTAAACCATAGATAAACACATACAAAACTGATTCTGGTCGCTATACTTTATTGCACCCAAAATATTAAACCCTTACTCGGCAGTTGAAAATAAATATTATATTATTCATATTATTTACGCGAAACTTTTTACTTTTTTTTATTTTATTTTTTTATTTCATACGACTTCTGCGTTGTGAAGCTGGGATGTAAAACTGTAATATCGTTAAATTTATACAATTGCTTGGTACCAGTGGATCGTGTTAGCTTATACATACAGTGTAATAATAAACCCCGTTACTCTGATACGACTCAATCGTTGGTCCATCCAATTACGAACTATCTTCCTCGAGACATTATAATAAAATTGTACGTGCGAGTTAGTCATTTCGCGAAAACAGCAAATTCTCCAGTACCACTTTCAAGTCGCTGCATGTAATTATTGGGCACAGTTAAGTTCTCATTTACCCTTGACAAGTTGTACATCTCATCATCGATCTCCGTATTATTATTTACGCAGGGATTCCGTAATGGTTATGCTATCATTATATTAAGTTTACGGAGCATGAAATGCAATGCAATTTGTCCATGATAATTAAACCGCTGATTCTGAATTTTTAGCTATTGTTTTTAATGATTTCGTTATAGGATTTTTCAGATCGCATAACAATGACTGTCGTTCTATTATATTTGATACTTTGGCCAAATAACATGGTTTAAGTGTTCTACAGCGAGCACGAGGGGCGTTTACGGCATGATTCGACTTGGTCGACTACACCACATTATTTTTATTCACCCTGCCAATTCTATAATATATTATTTCCGCTACAAGTGAGTGAAAAACTTGTATCATAAGTGTGATTTGCAAAAATGCAGTTGAAATGTAATTCCGACTATACGATGGAAAACAAAAATGTATTATTTGACGAGCTTGTGTACAACGAATGTTTTATTAACGCATCGAAAAACGTACATCGTGGTAACTATTCTTTTAATTTTAGTAAAGTACTCAACTATGCATGGGTCCAGTTTCAATTTTAGAACGTATCTCAATGACTTTTTAAAGTAAAGATTTTGGTTTTAATACAGTTATAATTGAACGTACAGACCAACAATGTGACAAAAAACTAAAACTTGTATTTAAGTCCATTCCTTCGCATCTGAATCGTTTTATAATAAATTCACGCAAATTAATTCGAAATTTGTGGAGTGTGTACTAAGGTGGGTCGTTTTTTTATTTTTTTATTTTTTTTGTAAACATAGCGATAAAAAACTTCCACATAGAAGTCTAATGGCGTATGTAAAATTTTATTTTATTCAAGGATGTTAAGCTACCTCTAGATTGTCGTCAAAGTTTCAAGTTTTTAATATTTATATTATTTGATCGGGAAAAAAATAATCTATTAACTGTATAAATGAAGCTATTACGTATATTACTTTATAATTTAATATTATTATTGTTGTAATAGCAGAAAACAAAATTAAATCATAAACTTAAACGGTACACTTGAATTTATATTTTTGCGATACGTAAATGTCATAAAAAAGATATGAACAAAAAATTACGATTATTACCGGCCGTTGTTGTTGAAATTTGTACATATTAAGTAAATTACTGAGGTAGGGGAATCAATGTCACTCGATTAATGACGATCAGACAATGTTACTTTTTATGACTTTTGTATCAATTAGAACTGCCATAGACAATTTTTGGAGAAATTGTGTTGTGATCGACGACCGTTCACGCGTTTGAAAATATGGACGTAATCGTAACGCTTGGAAATGTCTCTTGTTTAGTGATTCTTGTGATATTAAATATAATATGATGCTAACATACAAAGAACTTATGAAATTTTATGAGTGTATCCGGTACAAAATCAAATATGAAAATATGAAATATGAAAATGAAACTAAAAAAGAACCAACATATAAGGAAATAGAATCTATTGTTATTTCAAAAGTTGAAAATATATAAATAAAAGCTTCTATTGCAAAGCAATAGAATGCAAGCGAGTAAAAGCCATGTTGAAAATATACTTAAATGTCATCCTAAACTATCAGAAAAAAAATTAATAGATTTTCGTAGCAATAGTAAAGCTTTGTTTGATATTTCAACATTTAAGTGTAAAGATATCAAAAATTGTATTTGTCCAAGAATAAAAAAAATACCAAAAAAAAAAAAATAACCAAAAAAAATACCAATGAAGGAACAGAACTTTTTAATTGATCGACGTACATTGAGAAAAATGGTAATAGGATCAATGGAAATTGACACGACAAATCAAATTAGAAATAATATTAAAAGAAAGTCGGCGAGACGAAAATTGCCGTGTAATTCTCAAAAAGAAAGTACAGAAAAGCTCAATATATCAATTTTGTCTACATCTAGTGATTATGATAGTGAAAGTGATAATGTACTACAAAAAATTCACGACACCCTAAGACAGTTTCTGAAACTAAATCTGCTATTAAAATCGATTACTCTTTATTATCAAACACATGTGATAGATATAATATTTCATACAGAGCTGGGGTGGCCTCGGCATTATGAAAATTGTGTTATTTCGGAAATTATTGACAAAAATAAGCTTCGACGAAAGCGTAAAAAAACAAGACAGTGTATTTTAGCACAAGCAAAAGTTTTAAAAATACCTGCATTATATTTTGACAGCCAAAAGGATAGAACCTTGTATGATATTAAGAAAGATAGATAAAAGTATCGACAAATTATTCTGAAAGAACACATTTTTTTGAAAAATGTACCAGAATCAATATTTTTGGGTTATATCACACCAACTTCTGGCACTTTTAAATTTATCAAACAAGCAATCACCGTTGACTTCTTGGAGAGAGGATTATCAGTGGAGTGTTTATTGGAAGTTGGGTGCGATGGAACGAATGTAAACGTAGGTAAAAATGGAAGTATTATTCATTTGTTAGAAAATAGATTAAATAAGCCATTGCAATGGATAATTTGCTTACTGAACATGAATGAATTTCCGTTGCGACATTTATTTCTACGTATTGATGGTTCGACATCGGGACCCCAGACGTTTACAGGAGAAATTGGCAAACAGTTAAAAAGTTCTGAAAAAAAATATGTTGTTCAATTTTAACTTATTTCTTCATAACTAACTGCTTGAGCTATTTATGAAAGAGTTCAGATCAAAAATATTTATATAGAATAGTTTCCGCGGTAATAATAGGTATATTTACTAATGATTTAAAAAATAAATCACCTGAAAAAATATCTCATGCTCAATGGCTCTCATGATCTAACCAAATTCTTTGTATTTATGTCTCGATAGTGGCACCTTCTGAAAAGCTAATAACTCTAGCAACCTACATTGTCAAAGTTTACGCACAAACTTGATTTTCAATCAAAACTCATCCATAATGTAAACACATTACCTGTACAAGCTTATCTCTTCGTCAATATTTAAGTGAATTATAGATCCTGTAATACAAAGAAACAGTTATTTTTCTCATCCCGTGATAATTAATAAAAGTAATAATTTATTACTTGCAATATTGACAGACCCACAAAAACATAATCGAGAATTAGCTGCTTGTCGTATTTCGACGCAATATAAACACAAAAAAAAACAATATTGTTCAAACTTCCACATATAAATTTGAATGCATCATCTTACATCGATTTTATTAATTGGCAACAAAATATCAAAAAACCACTAATTTTAAAAACAATACTCGATGGAAATATTAAATTTCTCGTCGAACAAAAAGGAGAAGGTGATGAAGAAAATGATTAAGAATATTTACTACGTTTGCCATGTCATACACAAGCATTTTAAAAAGCTGTCAAGACTGTAACAGAAGATTCAACCATTTTGTGTAGTAAATCCAATAAAGAAGGTTTTATTAAGACACAAATAGAGTCACGAAAAGTAATGCCAAAATTTGTCAGTAAAAAAGATTTTCAAATCATTTAAACTCATAACTATTATTATATTATTATTTTTCTTTGATTATATTTTTTATTGATAATGACATATAATAAATACGATTGTATTTTATCACATTAATAATGTTCTACATTTTTTAAAAAATGATTCTATATTTTCAATGAAAAATATTTAAACTTTTTATACAGTGAATTTTCAAGACCGATCCGGAAGCAAAAAGTGATTTTATATTGATACCAAATTTATATAAGTAGTTTAAAGGTGTCGATTGGCACATTTTTATTGTTATGCCGAATGGAAATGAATACATTTATTTGTTTGTTATATATAAGTGTAAAAGTACTGTGATGGCACAACCTCAGTAGCATGTCAACCCAATTGTCTTACCTATTTAGATTAGATTTAAAGATTGACTACTTGCGATTAGCACACACTTATATACCTAAATATTAATATTATATATGTGTATTATGTTTGCATACGTATATATCCAGAGTTGTTAGCCAATGTTTTGTACCTGTTAAATTATATATATTAGCGTTTGGAATTACTTTAAACTCTTTATTTCTGTTTTCGCGAAACGCGATTAGTCCATTAGGATAACGTTCTGTCGTGGAGTAATAATAATCGTAATAACAACTTAAATGTATTATAGTTAGGTATATATAATTTATACGTACAGTATATATATATATATATACCTATTATAATATTTGTTATGTGATAATACGGCACAAAACATTAATTATATACGCGTATATATATTTTGTTCGTGTACGCCCACTACATACATTTATTTCGTGATATTTTAATGTGTTATGTATACGCGTTTCCGTGTACAAGGTTTTACCGAAATATGTAAGTACCTGAGCGCAATAGTATGAAAAAAAAAGAGAACCACGAGAAGAAGGCCAAACAATTTTGCTTGTTTTGATCTTGTGATTGTAACATCCAAAAATTAACAAATTTATAATATATATTATATAATTATATATATTAATAACGCAAAATAGATTGTTTTAATGCAGTGTTTCCCAAATTCTTTTACCCGCGGAACCTTTGCAGGAGCTTAAACGTTTTGTGGAACCCCAATATTTTTTCTATAATATCAATACAGACATATCTATTTTACACTTAAATGAGTGGGTTATCTGACACTTCCGACATAAGAGTGTCATTAATACAAAAAAAACAAGACGGTTTTAACATTTTATTTTGTTTGTTATCTACTATTATTATATTATTACTGCTATTATTACTACTATTATATTATAAATGTACTTACATATCAAAGCTTGAAATGCAATATTTGCCTCTCATTACTTCGAAAATAGATTCAATGAGAAGATTGGAATCATTCCATAGTGTTTTTTCATAACTGTTTTTAAATCTGAAGTTATTCCTGAAAGTTGGATTTGTAAGTCCGGAGCCGCATTTACTTGATTTCGAAACTTAGTCTTTGTATACGCCGAAAAGCTACAAACTACGAACCTCATATCGGGAAATATTTTAATTCCAGTTCTATGTTGAGTTCTATGTTCAAATCATAGTTCAAATCAAAATATTGCTAATTAATTTATATTTTCCCAAACTTCTCACGGAACTCTTTGCGCAAACTCACGGAACCCTTAGGTTTCGCGGAACACCAGTTGGGAAACACTGTTTTAATGAATACCTGTTTCGTAATATAAATGTTACAGTTGAAGTTCGAGATCGATCAAAATTAGTTTAAACCAAGACCTTCACTGTTAAAACTATTTTTAACTTATTTTTGTATATAAGAACTGGCTGTGTCTGAAATGTTATGATGAAAAATAGAATCATCTAGTTAAAATCCGTAATATTTATATTGATAAGTTAAACTAGTTTTAACTAGGGAAAATTAGAATTATAAGTACATATTAGAATAATAATTACAGGCATTTATAATATTATTTATTTTTAACAGGATAAATTGTCGAAGCATTTAGAATTGTATAATATTTTTTTTTTCCTATATAAACAGCGATTAGTTTCACAGGATTTTTTTCATATGCATCTTCCAAAGCCTTGCCCTAACCCCACCAATGCTTTTGTTGCGGCTGCGCAGAGGAAGAAAATATGATTGTTTCGAACTTCATTCTCTGATGGATTTTACTTCGTATGTTATAAATGTAAACCATTGTTAGGTATAATATGTAAAAGTTATCGTATATAAGTGATTTGATAGTCTGCCGGTAGTATTTATCGAGTAATATTATCGATCGTCTGTGGTTGCGTGCATTTTAGGTAGAACGTGTACGAATACATGTATACTGACGAATCTAAACCTGTAGATAATTCTAGTTTCAACTAGTCAAAACCAGAATTGACTAAAGGGATTTGTGGAAACAAGTTTTGACTAGTTAAGACTAGCTTTTGTGGATTTTGGGTTTAACTGTAATATATACAATATGTATAAATAATAGATATATTCTAACATGACCTGTAGATTTATAAAAAAATGCTAGTCATTAGCTATTAATCTCTTGCATTATGTGAATTACGTTCTTAACATAATTCATGTTTAAATATACGTATAGTTAAAATGTAATAATAAACCAATTCATTAATATTTCCTTACATATATTTTAATAGTGTCAACAAACAATGAAAAAAATCACTCTTTCAGAAAAAATGAATAGGTTATAATGTTTTTAACGAATACTTATTAAACAATAGATGATAAATGCAAATAATTTAAAACGATCAATAGAAAATTATTTTTAAAAATATTTAAAAGCTCTAATAATAATAAGAAGAAGAAAAAAAAATTGCCGTTGCCACTCATATTTAAATAAATGGAGCATATAGTCCAACTGTAGTATTCTTTATTTTAAACTGTTTTAGGGTCTAAGAGAGAAACTTAAATTACATATATTAAATACTAATTTCGAATCTCGAGCAATCTCGAACCGACCACAATATTCCCTATTTTGTCGAGACTATAATAAAGCAAATTAGAAATGGTTCTATTACTGAATGAATACACTTAATATAACTTTGGAGTGTAAAATACAATTTTGTTTCGAATTGTTCGAATTTTCATATGCACAGTGTCACAGTAAAATAAACTAAAAACGAGTTTAAAGCAAGAATAATCGAAGCTTAAGATGAATAGCAAAATGTTTTCTTAGTAAAAACGAAAAAAACAGAATTCCACTGTGATAAAAAACTTCAATGTCGTAATTTATACCACAAAATTATGAAACGATTATTGCAATAATAATAATTGCACGTCCGGAGTTCGAATCACGTAAAATTAACAATAATAATAACAGTCATCATTAAATTATATCAATACAGTCACACCGAATGGTTATGGCGTGACACCCGAGTCGAGAGTAAGAACGCCGTCGATTTAAAGTGCCGTCGCTGCTAATGGAAAAATGTTCCGAGTTTCCGTGAAAACGAATAAAAATCTCGCGAGGGGGTAAAAACACTCGCTGAGTAACAGTACGGTAGATTTGGAAATATCACACAACATGGCGCGATTCCCATAGCCACATCTTATTACATTCGAGTCCGTTTCATTACAATAATATAATCCCACAGCGCTTTATCTTATATCGCCGTCGAGAGTGGGTACTTACAGTCGGTCCCGAGTGGATAAGACAATCCGTTTGGGATAACGGAAAAAGAAATATTGTTTTCCTTAGCGCATTTGCGCGTGTTTGTCTATGAGCATATTCATATACACACGCGCACAAACGTTTAAATGGCAGATGTCAGCTGTTGATGTAAACTTCGAAAACGGAAATGATAAAAAAGAAAAAAAATCAAATAAGTCTCTTCTGCAGATATATGGTATTATGGTATATATGATATATGTTCACTGTTTATACGTACACACGTTAACAGTACATCATGTGTCCATGTTCGTGTTGGACAAAACGATAATATTGGATGGGAACCGAAGGCGAGGTGGTAAAATAGGAGAAAATGTCGCGTGAAAGACGGTATATATCGGAAACAGGAGTCGAATCGATTGAAATTCAATGAATCACTGTGACCGTAGATTTTGCCGAAACAGGATTTCTTCTTCCTTGTTGCGAATTACCCGAATAGCTGAGTTCTGCATTTTAACGTCGACGTACCACAATAATGATGTTTATTAAATACCTCTAACTATGCCATTATGTT